CCCATAATTGGTTATTCCAAATAATAGCTGAGTTAGTGATTTTCAATATTTGTTTTATTATTGAACGCAAAAGCAATGGTAAAGACTGCAAAATATAAACATTCTCTCATTTTTCTTAAAGGAACAAAAACATGCAAGAAAAATGTAATGATACAATAAATTGGTAACTTCCTAATTTGCTACAAAAGAAACATTTATCAGGTGATGCTTACATGTGTATGCTGCAACAAACCATTAACGTAATAAACCCAAGTCTAGTAAATCAACCAAGCAAATAAGTCCTCAAATATAGCAGATGTTATAGGGATGCCTCAACCTCTGATTCACAGATCCCAATCAAAGGATGAGAGAGAGTAATGGATGGAGATAAAATTTCAAATATAGGAATTTTAGAAATGTGTAAATTGTTGGGCATAGTTTGTGAATCTGCAAACCAAATGAGGGTGCAGTAGCAGTGGAGAGAGCCATGCAAAAGCGATTCCAAAAAACATTCACTGTCTTTTGTAGTTTAATTATGAGCCATTACGGTATCAATTAAACCAAACCAAAGAGCATCAGAAGAAGTGTGATTGTGTGAAGAAGTATATGGGTACAAAAAAATTACCTTTGATAGATACATAAAACAAACACTCATTATCAAACAGTGATTATTTAAACATGAATATCATAAAGAAGATATCAAAAGTGAGGGCCAGGGGGTAGAATTATTTTTAAAATTTCAGTGGAGAGTCACAGTTACTAGTAAAGACAGAGCCTATGATATAAGCCTGGGGTGAGTGACTTAGATGGCATTGAGGGCAAGACGGTTGAAGAGGAGAAGACCAGGACCTAAGAGGAAAGGATTATATATGAGAATAATCACATCATCAAGAAAGTTGACAAGACGGATGTTGAAGGACTGACATTAAGCCAGGTACTAAAAATCTCCAGACACAAAGGATTCAGGGCTCCATAGGTAACCACAACTCGAAGAGATAATACGTGGGTGGTCAAGCATCAGATCCAAAGTTTGATTTTCCTTTATTGGGGACGGGGTGAGAATAGTTTGCAAACACCAATAAAAACACAAGAGGGTAGAAAAGGAATGTGAGACAAAATAGGCACCAAGTGACAAGGCTAGGAGGGAAAGCAGTGTCCCCAGGGAAAGCTAGGAAAATGTAGCAGATTTTGCTAATGATGGACTGTTGTGTTTTCTTCACGTGAATAGACTTGAGGTGGTGGAATGCATTCCGTAAAAGGTGCTTCACGATCCTTCCAAGACTGAGTAGTGCGTTCAAAAGTGCTAACAGACCAAAACACGTGTGGGTCTGCTTTCCTCAAGCTCTTTTGTCCTCTGGGGAAGAGAAGCCCTATAAAATTTGAAGGCTAGACACCCAGGCTTGTAAGTCTAAAGAAAGAAAATGGCATTTCAGAGGCCAATTGTGACATAGCGCGTTTTACATTTTACTTGCTTTTGTTTTATATTTGGGAAGTGCTTAGCTTTTTGAATGGAAGTGGGGGGTTCCAGTAGTGATTAGGCCATCAAATGATGACAGCTAAATAGATCAGCACACTAGCTGGACTGCTGGATTTAATCAGGCAGATCTCATTTGGATTTCAGAATGATGCTCACATCTTTGTATTTGAAATGTGTTACAGTTTGCACTGTTATAAAAAGAACCTTACCAGACTTGAGAATATGAAAGGAGACAGGGGGAAAATTCCCTAACACATTGTTTTTTACCCCAGAAACCTTACAATACAACTTGTCATCATTTTTAGTATTTTGTACCCCTACAAGTTAAATGTGGTTTAGAACATTTCTAGAAAATTATCTTCAAGAAAAACTCAACTCAGGTATACCTTGGGGTACAGCATCTTTCACAAGTTGAGGTCCAGATACATTTATGCATAATTCAAAATTATGACTTTCAGACTTTATGACCGCAATCCAGAGCAAGAAATGCATTTTATATTTTAACCTATTATACATATATATTAATAAATGTATACATTAATAAAGGCACATACTACACATATTAAATAAGATTTTAATAGAAAATATTTATTCTTTGGAATCAAATGCACTATCATATTTTTATTTTATCTCCTATTTTATATGCTGGTCTAGTAAAATGACTTCATGACCTACCAATTGGTCACAAATAACAGTTTGAAAAACATGTTTTTAAATGGCAATATGGAATTGCTCTATGCTTTGCTATTTCTATTTCTTCAGTCTCTGAAATAGAACAAATGGCACTCTCTTTAAAAAAAAAAAACCGCCAATAACCAGAATAAGTTAAAATCGTACAGTAAACAAAACAGTTGCTATTTAATGAGGGCCAAGCAGAGAGCTAAATTTTTGCATTCATTATCTTATTTAATCATCACAGCAACCCTATGAGGTAGGTACTTTTTTCAAGATACATTCCCCATTGTAGAAATGATGGAAGTGAAAGTGTTAATACAACAGTACACTGTATTGCCCATACCACCCCATATTTCCTCACCACAGTTTACTGGGTACTAGTGGGCACAGCAGGGGATAAAACATGATCTACACCTTTAGGAATTTCTGCCACACTGTGTTGATCCTCTCACATGAAGCACAGTGAAAAGACTATACAGTATATGTCACATATTCCAGTTGATCAGACATTTCCATGTTCATTATCTTTGCAACTCAACTTCTTAAGGTAGTACAGCTTGAACTTCAGAAAACTCACACAATAGCTTTTAGAATTCTCATGCTTTCATCTCTTTCTATTTTTTAGTCTCTGGTATCAGATGGTTTCCATCTCCTCAAAATGCCGCTGCTAGTTATCTAATTTAACATTGTTAGTGGCAGCCAGGGAAACTTTGAGATATAGCCATTTCATCAATTATCTCCAGCTGGGAGGATTTAGTGCTTTTTAAGTAAGGCCGCGATATCAAGTTCATCTACACTATTAGTGAGGTCTTTATCACTGCCAAGTTCAGAAAGTGCTGAAGCATTTAAAGTGTTTTTTGTCTTTGTACTTTGGGTATAGTTCATTTTCTTGCTCTTGCAGAACTTGGGTTTCATCTCCAAGAGAACCACCACTCAAAATCAAGTCAAGGCAGAATGATGGAATGAATGTACCTCAGGTCAAGCAAACAGTTAGCATTTACTGATGTCCCCCATGTTCAAAGCTCTATACTAGAACCGATAGGAACCTTCAAAGGGAATAGAAGTCTGATGTGATCATTAGTGCCGCTGATGAAGACTTCTACGCTTTCCAGACATACAGTAACGTCACACTTCTCTACCCCGGGAGTCAGGTGCGGCACAACGTCTTGCTTCACAGATGAGCAGAGTCACTTCCAGGTTAAGTTTTAAGAGCCGGTGTATGATTTACTATGCTCTCCCTTTCACTCTTTCCTTTCTGTTTCTCAGCAGTGATCCAAACAGGAGCTGCTTGGGCCCCAAAGTAAGGTAAACTGGAAAACAGCCCTGACTGACCCATGCTACATGGATGGTGTTGGGTAATAATAAAAAAATGAAAACAAAAACAAACAAACAAACAAATAGTTTTTGCTTTGAACCACTGAGTCTTGAGAGTTGTATTAGTCAACATACAACTGACCCTTGGCAAATTTAAATCTCTAAAGATATTTTAAAACAGCTGTAAAAACACACCAAAAAATGTAAATAAGTGGAAAGTACAAATGAATAATGTAAATTATGTGTAAATAAAAGATAAAGGAGAAAATATGACTAAATAAGTGATAGTCATATAGAGGTTGAATATGGGTAGGAATTTCCACTTGAATTGTACAAGAGGCATGGGGAATAGGAGGTGTGCATGAAACACTGCGTAGAAAGGTGCAAAGGGAAAAATGAAGTCACATGAGCAAAGCTGCAGTTGATTTGTTTGGTGGAGCAAAGAACTAAGAATTGAAATACCTGAGAAAAGGAAGAAAAGGCAGCTGGGAGGGGGCTGCAAGGACCAGACATAGGTGTTCAGGCACTGATACTAGCTCATTTATTCTTCACTCATTCATTCATTCATGGATTCAATAATGATTATAAGCTAGGAACCCTACCAGCCAGATGCTTGGAAACTGAAGATGAGTGATTTTGTGATCACTAGTCTTAGACCTCATCATTTTTTAAGGTTCACATAAACAAACAATCCCAACATATTATAGAATTTCATACCAGACATTTGTGCTACCAGAAACACAAAGCCAGAAAGGAGTCAATTCACATGTAGATTGTTGTAGGGTATAAATAAGAAGATGAAGGAATCTGGCAAGATTTTAAAACAAAACATGGCATTTGAACAGAATCTTCGGAAAGGATGGTTGATCATAACGATAAGGGGAAAAAAGGCATTTCAGTCAGGGAAAAGAGTATTTATTCAGTATTCATTGGGTCAACATGTTTTATATAGGTGTTTTCTTAAAGGACTCTGTATTTTTGTCTCACAAGAAGACTAATCAGTGTGTATTTATCAAACACACACTGTCTGCCAGGCACTGTGCTAGCCTTAGGATATGACAGTAGGGGAGATAGTCTCCCTTTCCTCACATTCTAGCTGGGGAAATGTGAGATACTTTACTGAACAATAATTAAAATAAATTGTGATCAGGGCTCTGACAGGGGAAAGCAGGTTGCTATACCAGCACATAGCAAGGGCACCTAATAGGGTCAAGACTACCTGAAGGAAGTTACCTTCGGTTGAGATGTAAAAGGTAAATAGGAGTTAGCCAGATGAAGAGGAAGGGGAGGAGAGTTTCAGTGAGAGGAACCAAGCTGTGGGAGACTTGGACATGGAGAGGGTATATACCATAGAAACTGGAAGGAGTTCAGTATGACTGAGGCTTAGAGGAGGGAGCACAGGGCAGAGGAGAGACTTGCAGCTGAGAAGGGCAGGAGCAAACTTCAGAAGTTTACACCCTATCCTGAAATCTTAGGAGAGCCTTTGAGACATTCTAAAGAGGAGGGCATGCTAAACTGTGTGTTCTAGAACACAGCTGATGTGACAGACAGAAGAATGGAAAAGAATCAGGGCCAGACACAAGGAGACCATATAACAGGCTCTTACAGGAGCCCAGGAGAAAGATAATGGCAGTTTACCAGGTTAGCAACTGTACAGACAGAAAGTCTTAAGTGTATTTATGACAAATATTTAAGGTAATGATGTAATCTGGCTTTGGGTTACATATGAAGGGAAAGAAAATTGAGGATCCCTGCAAAGATTTTGGTTTCTAGTCCTGGCAAGTAGACATACAGTAGTGTCATTCAGTGACAAAGAAAACAAGAATTTGCAAAATCACTAAAAAATTCTTCAAAACAAATCTCTACGTAGGGAACCAGGTTTACTCAACACCACAAGAAATGTAGTTCCACCTGGAGAGAGGTAAAAGTAAAATTTGACTTAAGTTGAGATTATAAAGGCATTTCTATGCCAATGCTAAAGCAGCTAATTGAATGACAGTGCCTGCCAGATTCTGAGCAGAAGACAGAGTAATCTGATTTCATGTAGAAAGATGAGGACTCTGGAGCAAGTGTGAATGGAGGATTGAAAGAGAAAATGGCTAAAGATGAAGCAGGAGATTATTTCAATTGTCCAGGCAAGTGATCATAAGGTCATAAACTTAAGTAGCCATGATGGGATTCAAGAGGAAGAAACAATAAAGATTTAGAGGAGAGAACCAATGGGTTTTTATGATAATTACATGTGATGGGGTGAGGAAAAGAGGGGTGCTGAAGATGAGCCAGATATTCTACTTTGGGAGACTGGAGGAGTAGCAATTCCATTAATGGAAAGATATTCTTTAGACCAGGAGAAGTTACAGGAAAAACAACAAATCTGGTTTGGACATGTTGAGTGTGACATATCTGTGAGACACAGAAGATACTTAACAATGTTTGTTGTAATTATGTATCTGGAGCTTAGGGAGGAGGTTGGGTTATGAAAGTTGCAACATATATTAGAGTCAAGGGAAGGGATGATAATTGCTCATAGAGGAAGAAAAGAAGAGAAAGAAGAAACCCTGGGGCATTTAACATCTAAGACGTTGATGGGTGGAGGTAGAAATGATGAAGAAGCAAATCACCCTAAGCTCTGAAGCTGGAGATCCACTCAAAGACAAAGAGATTTCAGGGTGCTTGTCATGTATACATGCTAGAATTGAAAAGTAAGAAGCTGGGGAATGGGAGACCAGCTTGAAAACTATAGCAGCAGACCAGCCCCCAAAAAGGATAGATTTCAGCCCCAGTATATTGTAGTATTTCATAGGAGACATTTGTGCTACCAGAAACGCAAAGCCACAGAGGATTTCTTTTACACGTAGGGTTGTAGGGTATAGGATATAAATGAGAAGATGAGAGAATCTGGCAACACGTTTAACACTTATAAAGATATGAATGAGGATAAGCCTTTGACTATAATGAATAACAAAAAATATATGTCAAATTAAAGTTCCTTTCTTCACACAATCTTTTTTCTCATAAATCTGACAATTTTGATTGAAACAAACCCACTAGATTAAAAAGTGACTATTCAGTCACTAGTGGAGTCAAGAACTAACAGTAACTTTTATTAGTTGGGCGAATGGGCCAGAAAGAATGGAAAAATAACTTATAGTAATTTGGCTGTTTGACTACTCAACTGAGAACCTGTCATAAGGCATCAATTTAAGGGTGCCTGCAGCAGTGTTCAACTCCAAACAAGGTCAGTAAAAAACGACAAGTGCACAAGCAAAGAGGCTCCACCGATTCAGGCATAATACTCCCTCCATATCTATTTGGAGACTCTTGAGACGGCTCTGGTGTTTTTGTTTTACAAGTCCTGACCAGCACGTGTATGACATAATGACATGTCAGTGCCTACCAAATATCAGTGTAAAGTATTAGTTTTGAATTTACCCAGGCATCTCATTAAAATGAAAAATACACTGTAAACTTTCTAATGAACCTGAGCCTCTGTCTGGTTTGCTCATAACTCAGGAAAAGTCATAAACAGAAAGATACGTGTCTCTATCCATAGCCAGGGCCCCAACTAAGTACTGCATTGTGAAATGAGTCATTTTCCTGTAAGCAATGATTTGAAATGTGCTATAATTGCTATGCTGCCCATGTCACCCAAGGAGAAAACAAAACATCTAAGTAACATCACTATGCCTTACAAACTGTCAAACATTCATCGATGATTTCATCTCATACTGGTGATGACCCTTCAGTGGTTTCTTTTACAATAACAGACCTGCCAACTTGGTCTGAGAGAAGAGGAAACTCACAGAAAGCAGAGCATTGGGCTCATAATTAATTTTATCACTATCATCCGGGCAAAACCCAGAAGCCTATATTTTAATTGGCTTGCTAACATACTTGAAAATAATATTTCTAATGAGATTATATTTTTCCACATTCAGAAATAATGAGAGAAAAAAGCAACAGTTGTATTTTAAAATATCTTAATACTTGGTATTGGGAATTTAGGAAGCTATTATCTATTTAGCATAAGTCAACTTGACATTCCGCTGAAACTAAGATTTTGTTCTGGTTAAAAAGCACTTGGAGGCCCTGGCATGAACAGCTGGATTAACAAAATGGAATAGAGGAAACATCTGCATTACTTTGCTAGGGCGGCCGTAACGAAAGCCCACTAATTTGATAGCTTAAAGAAAAGACATGTATTGTCTTATAATTATGGGAGCTAGAAGCTCAAAATCAAGGTGTCATCAGAGTTGACTTTTTCTGAGGACTGGGAGGGGAGAATCTATGCCAGACCGCTGCTCTTTATTTGTGGATGGTCATCTTCTCTCTGTGTCTTTTCATATCATCTCCCCTCTATGCATGTCTAGCTCTGTGTCAGATTTCCCCTTTATATCTTTATAAAGACACAAGTCAGATTAGGGCCCTCCCTAATGGCTTATTTTAACTTGGTTACTTCTGTAAAGACCTTTATCTACAAATAAGGTCACATTCTTAGATACTGGAGGTTGGGACTCCAATGTGTCTTTTTTGGGGAGAAACAATTCAATCCCTACCAATAGTTAAAATAATCCTTCTGGGAGTGCAAATGAATTGCTTTATTTCCATCCATTTACATGTTTGCTATCAACTGTCTCAGCTAACAAGATAAAACAAAGACAAATCAGAGCTACATTGTCACAAAGTTTCCTTGCTGAGAGGTTGGGTTGGTAATGCCTGTCCGGTTCATTAGAGATAGATATATCACGAGTAATTTACTTGCAGACTCCCGCCATTATTGTCTCAGTGAAACTGACTAGTGAATGTCTACATGCCTATTCATCCGATATCATTTATGACCATTACCATTCACCAAATTTTTAAATTCCAGTAGCATGGAATCCTAGAATTCTACATTTAAATGTATCTATCACTGACATTCTTAGGGATTCTAAGTATTATCTCTAGCAAAATATCTTCCTCTCTAAAGCTGAACAAAAGAATACTGCAATGTGACAAATGAAGATGAATTTGGACTTTGCATCTGAGAAAGTCTATAGAGACTTAGACTCACTCGCACTGACCTGGACTCACAGAGTTTTATTCTGTGAAAAAGCAAGAACGTTACCACGATATTACCATCATAGAGGATCAAATAGGCCATTTCCTGCCCCACTGCATCATCCTGATCAAACTCAGAAAGTGAACTCTCTTCTAAAGAAATAATTCAGTATATGTAAAAAGATATTCATCTAAGAATTATTTCTAGTAGCAGAACTTTAAATGTGTACTCAATCATCAATAAGTAAAGATACTATTAACTATGTTATGTTTACTCTATGAATGATTCAAGTGGTAAACACAAAGATTATATAGCATCATGACCATGTGATTCTACAGCAAAATACACAATTTACAGCTCTGTTCATGCCCACAAAGTTTTCAATCAACTTTTGAGGGCCTTCCTCTTAAATTTAAGGAGAAAACAAAGGATAATCAGATAACCGAGGAAAGGTCCTAATGTAAAAGGCAGAGCACAAAACAAGGTAGGTGAGGGAAGCTACTTGGAGGTGAGAGGCTACAGAACAAGAAAACTTCCAAGTAAAACTATCACCTATATCAGTGAGATATGTAAAGTATCATACATGAAATGAGAATAAGTATTATTTAAAAATTGTTAAAGAAAAAAATCAGAGTTCAAAAATTTTTGAAATTAAATATAAGAGAGAAGAAATAACAAATGAATGGGATAATTGGAATACTGAGAAAATCTCCAAAAATTAAAGTAAAAAGAGATAGAAAATAAGTGGGAAACATTAAAAAAATTGGACGATAGTTCAGGCAGTCCAACTGAAAAACCCAGAAAATGGAGAGGAGAATATTATTTTAAAAATCATAAAAATACCTCAGACTTGAAGGGTGATAGTTTTAAGACTCCAAAAAGCTTTTCAGGTACCCACCATAATTTTTAATGGACTTACTACAGCATATAATTATGAAATTTGGGAATGAAGAAAAAGATATAAAAATTCAAGAGAGAAAAAAACATCAAGTTACATACAAAGGATCAGGAATCAGAAGGATGCTCCATTTTTCAATAAACAAAAGAAGATGGAATATAATAGAGCAATGACTTCAAATTTCAAATGATTAATTCCAACTCAGAATTCAATATCCAGCTAAATGAGCAGTTAAGTATGAGGGTCAACTCTAAAGACCTTCAGACATGCAAGGTGTCTCCAATTTGGGATTCCCCAGAAACAACTCCAAAAACAAGGACTTTAATGCAAATAGTTGATTTGGGAACTGCCAGGGAGCACTGGCAGGGGAATGGAGAATTGAGAACAGGAAGAGAAGGAGCCCAAGAAAGGATGTTTATTGGATACGTCACCTCAATGGACAACTGGGATTCAATCCTCCTTAAGAACTGCAGGAAACAGAACACGCATCATAACTATCTTTGCCAAGGGGTGAAAAAACTGATCCATCACTGGCTGAGAGCTTCTCCTGTATATGAACCCTGAGAAACTGTCATGTGGAGTCAGAGGTGCATGTAGTGATGTCCATTAACATAGACAGAATTTTAAACAACGAAGGAATCTAAGAGGACACCAACAACATCTGCTACAGGTCTCACAACATTTACTTTCTCCTTAAGTTATTCAAGGAGCTGTTTCATGGAAATGATGTAGCAAACCAGAAAAGAATACGATACAATAAGGCCAGTAAACAGAGGATGCAATTCAAAAGACAGATAAAGAGCACCCTTGGGTTAATGGTAAATGGACATCCAAGGTAACAACCACACAGCAACCAGGTGAGATTTAAGGAGGTCAGTAAGCCCCAGGAAAGATGTCCCCAAGAACATGAAATGGATAGAGCATCTGATGTGTTTCAATGTATGGGAGCAGACTGAGACAACTGAGGGAAACATCAATGTTGAATAAATGATAAGTACAAAGAGAATTAAGAAAACAAATAAGCAAGACAATTAGTAACTCAAAGGAAAAACAAAAAGTTGTGCAAAAACAGAAAAAAAAATCATAGAATACTATATGAATAATGTAGTGTTCTGAATTTTGTATCTTGACAAAATGTCATATCTGTGCATACAGATCTACCATATTTTAAAAGTCAGATAATAGCTCCTTAATAAGAATACATTGTAATTCATGTAACAGTCTCCTAGTATAGGCATTTCAGTCATTTCCAGTTTTATTTTATTACAAATGATGCTAATATAAACATCCTTGAAATTTTCTGGAGGACATAGCAATGGAATTTCTAGGTCAAATGGTAAACACAAATAGAGTTTTGATAACTTTTTTCTAAATTCTTCTCCAAAAAAGTTTCATCCATATAAACTCTCACCAACAGTGCACAGTCCTTTTCTCCCACAATAGATATTACCAATTTGCTTTTTGTGAGGTTTTTTCTTTTTGACAATTAAAACTACAAGAGTAAAGAGGGAGAATTTCGTATTTAAAATAATTATGTCTATGTATTATTTTAATTTTGTTTCAATGCATTATTTTTAAATTGGACTTAAACAATTGATTGTTTTAATCTAATTAATTAAATCTTCATACTGTACTGGCAAAATTTTCAAAATAAATAATGTCCTAAAGACGTGAAAAAGAAAAATACGTAATTCCCATTTCTTAAATGAAGTATAGGATAATTAATAAAAATTAGTGCCAATAAATGGGAAATCATATTAAATTATGTGGATGGATGCCTACTCCTTAATTTGCACAGCCTCTTAGATCTCTACTAAGACATTCTGCCACCCACAGATACAGATCTAACTGTGGCATAAGAATTTTACATACCCTCTCCTAAATTCCTAAGAATTTCTACTCTTAACTTCCTCTAGTGTTAACAATCTCCTTCATTAAGACAAGCATTGATTTATTTGCAGTGAGAATGTTTCTGACAGGGTTTGAAACTAATTATTTTGTCCTAGATACACAAAAATAGATTCTTATGTTTTACCAACTTCACAAAACCATGGACCATCCTCTACTAAATAAAACCCAAAACCTTAACTGAGTAACTTAACAGCAAAATCTTATTATCACGAAGAGTTTAAACCTTAGTCCTTTTAAACAGCTATTGGCTATCAAACTAAATAATTTATGCAAAAATCACATTAATTTGGCCATTTTTTTCAAATTAACTATTTCAAATTTTTAATTGTCAAAAATCCTAACGGAGACTCTGAATTCACCAACGTCCCAGTTGTGACTTTAGAATAGTTACGGTTCCAATAATTGTTCTGAATTGTGTTCCGCTGAAAACCTCCTTAACAAAATTGAGAATATAATCTGGGCACTGTTTGCATTTGGCATGTGCAGGGAATAGAGGAGCAGAGCAACCTCTCTGCCCAGGCAGTGCATTTTGCGTAAGTTCATTATTATTATTATTATTATTACTTTTTTTTTTTTTTTTTGAGACGGAGTCTCTCCCTGTCGCCCGGGCTGGAGTGCGGTGGTGCAATCTCGGCTCACTGCAAGCTCCACCTCCCGGGTTCACGTCATTCTCCTGCCTCAGCCACCCGAGTAGCTGGGACTACAGGCGCTCGCCACCTCACCCGGCTAGTTTTTTTGTATTTTTAGTAGAGATGGGGTTTCACTGTGTTAGCCAGGGTGGTCTGGATCTCCTGACCTCGTGATCCGCCCGCCTCGGCCTCCCAAAGTGCTGGGATTACAGGCGTGAGCCACCGTGCCCGGCCCAGTTCATTATTAAAGGGTTGCTGATGAATAAAATGTCATAGATACACAGGAGTAAGGCAGGGAAAGAACGTAAACTGGAAACCTGGATACTGCAAAGAATCACATAGTACAGGAGGGCCAGAAGTCCTTTCCCATTCTCTATATGGTCAGACCCCTAGTTGAATATTCATTCATCCTGAGCTCCACAGGAATATAGAGAAGCTGGAAGGAGTTGAGAAGTGAACGCTGAAGATGATGAAAGGGTTGTACTAAGAAAGAAATGAACAGATTGCTAAACTTGGAAAAGGAGGGAGCTCTATTTAAAAAAGGCTTCCGAGTAATGGGACCAATTAATAGACAAAAATAGAATCTCAGCTGCTTTTCATTCCCACTGTGAACAGAATAAGAGAAAACAGGTGGAACTAAACATGAGGGTGGAGGCTGCCAACAGTTTAGCAAGTCAGGAGCAGCAGTGTGTACAGCAACCAGTTGTGATATTCCAATCCACACGATCTGTAAAGTAGGGCAATGGTAGAGGTAAATGTGGTCACTGCCACAAGAGACTAAAACGAATGAGTGCTTGAGGGAGGGAGGAAGTATTTCTAAAAGAACGAAGTGCAAGACCCCACTTCCAGACTAGCAGTCAATAACTTGTATGGCAGTCAAACGTGTAAATTAGAATAGCCCTGGAGCTGGGCAGCCTGGGTTTGAATCCTGCTCTTCCATTTGCTGGCTTGCTGTCCTTAGACAAGGCACTTAACCTATCTGTTCTTCCATTTCCTTATCTATAAAAGGGGAAAATCAGTGTTAACCTAGTGGAGTAGTAGAGAGGATTGATGAATTAAGTTACGTGTATGTGTGTGCATGTGTGTGTGTTCTCCTATATTTGTTATTATTATTCCTCAATCACAAGAGTTGTGAGTTAGAGGAATGTATTTTGGCAGAGGATTAATTAAACTTGTTTCAGTATTCTAATGTCCAGAATCCTCTATTAACCATCATTTGCAGCAAGTACCCTAAATGTGGATGCTCATGCTTACCATGACTGAGGCAGCAGACATCATGAGACCCTCAGGTATGAATCATGCAAAATGAATTCACCTTTATCCAATATTGAGAATTTAAAATTTAGTCATCTGCATGCATACAGCTGGAGGCCATTACCCTAAGGGAATTACGCAGGAACAGAAAACCAAACATCACATGTTCTCACCAGTAACCCTGGGGACTACTAGTGAGGAGAGAGTGGGAGGGGGACAACGGTTAAAAAAAAAAAACTATTGGGTACTATGCTCATTACCTGGGTGATGGGATCATTTGTATCTCAAACCCCAACATCAGGCAATAAACACATGTAACAAACCTGCATGTGTACCCCCTGTATCTAAAACAAAATTTTAAATTTTTAATAAACAAAACTGCTAAACAAGAATGTCAAAAAAAATTAAATTAAAACTTCGTTATCTAATTATTTAAGACTAGGCAACCTATATTTATCTTATACAATAATTCTTTCTTTATAAAATACTATATTACCTAGAACATATTAATTTCCAATCACCTTACATAACAGAAACCACTTAATACATAATGCATATCACTGAATCAGTTAAACCGCTAATTAATTAATTAATCAAAAACTGACTGCAGATCCAGATACCTTTGGCTAGCTAACCTGCGTGTTCCCCTTTGCTGGCTTGTGATTTGGGAAAGGTCGTTGCAAAACTTAATTTTTGATGTATTTATTTTTAAAACTACAGATAAGCACTGCTTTTTAAAAAAACACTCAATTTGGTGCCTCGCCTCTAAGCAATCATAATTTAAAATAAAAGATTATAATCAAAATTACTATATTGCGTAATTAAAGCATCTTTAAGATTCTCGTATTTAGAACTTTAAAAAGAGAAAAAAAAAAACAAATCCCTTTTTTCTGTCAGTTTGCTGTGCAATTATGTCAGTTGTTCAATCCAGACTTAAATAAATCATGTTTTACTACAAACTACTCTGTACATAGAAATGCTTTATTCTTCCCTTTCATATTATTATTTAAAGACATTCTACTCATATGTATGAACACATATAAGATTCTCTATTACAATTTTTGTTTTTATAATTACATGAAAGAATAAGTTTAATAAAAGTGTCATACTATGATACAGCAAAAATGTTGTATAATTAGAAGTAATTTCTGTAGACAGATTATTTTAATAAGAGCTATTGTATCCAGGGTTTTTATTTTTAGGCAAAACAACCCTTTATGTTTTTTTCAGCTTTATTGAGGTATAACTGATGCACCAAAAACAAAATCTGTACATAATTTACAGAGTTTGATGAGCTTGGACATACACATATCCTCTTGATACCATCACCATAATCAGGGTAATAAATATATTCTTTACTTCCAAAAGGTTCCTTGTGTCCTTTGGCTATATTTTGGTTTTGTTTTATGTTTGTCTGTTTGCCTGTTTGTAAGAACACTTAACACAAGCTCTAACCTCTTAACAAAATTTTAAGTACATAGCACTGTATTATTAACAATATGCACTGTGTTGTACCGCAGATGTCTACAACTTAATCATCTTATACAAATATAACTTTACACCCATTGAGCCCCTGGAAACCATTACTCTAGTATCAGCTTTTGTGAGCTTGACTATTTTAGATATCTCATATAAAATGGGATCATGCAGTATTTGTCCTTTTGTGACAGGATTATTTCACTTATCACAATGTTGTCCAGTTCCATCTACATTGCCATAAATGGATTTCTCTCTTTTTTAAAACTGGGTAATATTCCACTGTATATACTCACTGCATTTTCTGTACTCATATGTCAGTGAGTATTTGGGTAGTGTCCATATCTCGGCTACTATGAATAGTGCTACAATGAACATAGGGGTGTTGATATCTCTGCAAGAACCTAGTTTCAGTTTGCTTGGATCTATAGCCAGGAGTAGGATTGCTGGATATTGGTTTCTGTGTTTGAACAAAGTGGTGGGGCTGAGCTGCTTCAGTGACAGATGATGCCTTGTGGATGAAGGGGACTAGGTGTGTGTGTGTGTGAGCTCCCATCTCTTCTTGAACAACATATATCAATAGAGAAGCCAGGAGGTGTTCTATTTACACACCCTGAATCATGTAATTTCTGAATATGAGCATTTTAAACATAGAGATGAACATAACTTTCAATAATGCTTTCACTCAGTGCTCTCAGATCAGTGAGATTGTGATGTATTTCTACATTTGGAATGAACTTCTTCACAGAGCTTAACACATACTTTTTAAAAATACAGCATGATATAATAAGTAAGGCCAACTAAACAGCTAATGAAAAAGGATTTGCAACATATAAACTGGACAAAAGATTGGTATGCTCAATGTACTCAGAACTCCTACAAATGTAAGAAGATAAGCAATACAATAGAAAAATGTATAAATGATATTGTGATATTTTGTATAAGAATAAATGCACAGCCAGGTGTGGTGGCTTACACCTGTAATCCCAGCACTTTGGGAGGCCAAGGCGGGCGGATCACGAGGTCAGGAGATTGAGACCATCCTGGCCAACATGGTGAAACCCCGTCTCTACTAAAAAAAACACAAAAAATTAGCCGGGCGAGGTGGCGGGCGCCTGTAGTCCCAGCTACTCCGGAGGCTGAGGCAGGAGAATGGCGTGAACCCGGGAGGCAGAGCTTGCAGTGAGCTGAGATTCGACCACTGCACTCCAGCCTGGGTGACAGAGTGAGATTCCGTCTCAAAAAAAAAAAAAAAAAAAATTAGTTGGGTGTGATGGCCGTGTACCTGTAATCCCAGCTACTCAGAAGGCTGAGGCAGGAGAATCACTTGAATGGGGGAGGCAGAGATTGCAGTAAGCTAAGATCACGCCACTGCACTTCAGCCTGATGACAGAGCAAGACTCCGTCTCAAAAAAAAAAAAAAAAAAAGAATAAATGCATATAATAAAATATAAAGTTATGAAAAAGATAGTCAGTCTCACTGGTGGTCATTAGAATGCAAATTTAAACAGTAAGATATTTTTCAAATATCAGATCCACTTTTTTAAATTTGCTTTAATAACCAGTACTGGTGACAATACAGAAAACTCAACACTCAAGAACTGCTGATGAGATGAATGTGATCAACTACAAGAAACTTTTTGAGAAGTGTACCAACAATACTTACAGAAGTTCTAAGAAGACAAATATCTATCCCATCAAACTACTTGAGGAAAATATGAGCTTATGGCAGACATTGGTTGTCTCAAGCTCCTAGTAATTGTCTCCCCTTTTAATAACTGCTCAGCAATTATCCTTGGGTAATTACACTTTCATACTTTCAATCCAAATGTGTTGGTAAGGGTGGCCTCATGCTCCAGAGTCCAGAGGGGAGTATGTGGCCTAAACTTGGCCAATAGAGTGTTGATGCCCTGGTACGGTGACTGGTTCAGGGATGGGCAACCAGGCCAGCGAAAATCCCACCCAGTATCTCAGAAAAAAAACAACTGGGAAAGAACAGCTTTCTTAACACTGTAAAATGAGATTTAAGACTGGAACTGATGATGGCTATTTTGTCCAAGAGGAAAGACTGCTTGAGAACTAAGCTTACAGAGAAAAATGCTGAACCAAGAATCAAATGTAGACAGGCTCCTGAGAACATTATTTCTGTTTCTGAATCTGGCAGTATCTGAAACTTACATTCCTCTTGGCTTTTCAACTACCTGAACCAACAGAGTTGAATCAATGATGCATATACATTATATGGAATATTATGCAACTTTTTAAAAACAATGAGACAGAGCTACATATATTGAAAGGATGGTGAAGTTTTTCTCTAAAATGTCTCTGATGCAATTACTTAACTCTCTGCCTTTGTAATGTGAAAACAGTCATAGACAATACATTCAGCATGGCCAGAGTCAGCCCATGAACCATGGTTTGCCTATCCATGGTACATCATTAAATGAAAAATGATGCCATTTTTATGAAGGAAATTGCTTAAAGAATGAGTTTTATATATATATCCATATATTAAAAGTATAATGAAAACATTGGAATAACATATAGCATTGCTGATTACCTCAGGTGGGGTGGTTTTGAGAGGTGAAGCCAGCTGGATTTCCTGGGTCAAGTGGGGACTTGAAGAACTTTTCTGTCTAGCTAGAGGATTATAAATGAACCAATCAGCACTCTGTAAAAACGCACCAATCAGCGCTCTGTCTAGCTAAAGCTTTATAAATGCACCAATCAGCACTCTGTAAAAATGCACAAATCAGTGCTCTGTGTCTAGCTAAAGGTTTGTAAATGCACCAATCAGCACTCTGTAAAAACAGACCAATCAGCACTCTGTAAAATGGACCAATCAGCAGGATGTGGATGGGGACAAATAAGGGAATAAAATCTGGCCACCCAAGCCAGCAGTGGCAACCTGCTAGGGTCCCCTTCCACTCTGTGGCAGCCTTGTTCTTTGGCTTTTCACAATAAATCTTGGTGCTGCTCACTCTTTGGGTCCACACTACCTTTATGAGCTGTAACACTCACTGCAAAGGTCTGCAGCATCACTCCTGAAGTCAGTGAGACCATGAACCCACCGGAAGAGAGAAACTCCAGACACATCTGAACATCTGAGAGAACAAACTCTGGACACACCATCTTTAGGAGCTGTAACACTCACCCTGAGGGCCTGCAGTTTCATTCTTGAAGTCAGCGAGACCAAGAATCCACCAGAAGGAACCAATTCCAGACAGTTTTAGAGGAAGACTAAAGAGATATTTTTAATTTTTAATCTTTTTTTCAATATTTCTGTGTTATTTGAGTTATTAAAATGAACATGCGTTACTTTTTTATTTAAAAATATCTAATAACCTTAAAAAAGGGAGATGCATTTTTTTAATGCAGTCCCTAAATTTAAAAAAAAAAAAATTGCATTATAACCAGGCCAGAATTTGGGGGAATCATGAATATTCAACCTGTCCTGATCTTTTAGCACCTGCAGGCCACACTCAGTTTCGCAGACCTATTTTATAGAGAAGGCCTAACGAGGTATTGCACCTTACTAAAGGTTACAGAGCTAATTAGTGGTAAATCCTCGTCTAGAAATAAGGCCTCCCATTTCCTAATCCGGTCTTTTTTCAGCATATATTACAGGTCCATAGATGTTCTTTCCCTTCCTCATTTGAGAATTAACTCATAGAAAATAGATGCCTCTCCAAACACATCATCATGAATATGTTTATAGCATCCAGCTCCAAGCAGCTCTGCCTTCAAAGATTTTTACACCACAGTCAGATTTTCTCTTCCGTAAATTGTTAGCACTATTTTTAGGAGTCCTTTTCTCTGGCAGATCCAGGCATTCTCGCATTTGAGCCCTGTCATCTCTTCAGTGTGTATTTAGTAGTTTCAGCACTCTGCTCACTGTTTGCATATCATGACACCAGACAGAGTTCAGCAATACAGAACGTCTTATCCATTTCCTCTTAATCCATTTTATATTCATCCTAAGCCCATCAGAGCAGGAGATGGAATGAGAGTTTTATAATTACCTTTTGCAAACAGAACATTAAATTATTATACAGTAGAATCCTCTAGTTTCTTGGACATAAGACGGCCTTTACTTGCCAGTGAACAGATCTGCCTGTCTCTATAAGTACACATATGTACTTTGGAAATCAGCCCTGTTAGCTTGAAGTTATTGATCAATTTTGGTAGATTACTGCAATAGATTCTTAAAGTGCTTTAAGATTAAGAGATGTGCTTGGCTTTCTTCTGTCATGTATCTCAAAGGAAAACCATGAGATGAGACACACAATGAAAAACAGCAGGTAATACCATATGAGACTCCTTATTAAAAACATAAAGTGCCTTTCACTCCTGCTTTTATTAAGTCTACTTTTCAAGCTAAATGGGGGGTTAGGTGAGACGATTATAATACAAGTCACATATAACTATTTCATTATCCATGTCCTACAGCAAGATAGCCCCCAGAATGCCTTTGAAAGCTCCAGAGTGATGGCAGCAGGTTGAATATAATGAACAATGTTACAAATGGGAACATGAGACGGCAGGTCTGGTGGGGACGGAGTCTCCTAGAAACTGTAAGGCTGTAATTACTGAACACTGCCTCGGTTTCAGTTGACTTTGAACACTGGTAACCATCTTTGGCGAATTATATTTTTCTCAGCTAGTTAAAATGAAGCCAGTCAGAGAACCTGAAATTTATAAGGCATAATACATAGGCAAAGGCATTGTCTGCTTTTATTACTCTAATTTTTGTCTGGTTTCCAAGCTCATTCCACTATGCACTGTGCAACTGAATTAAAATTGGGTTAAGAAATAGATTTATATTATTATGTCTGAAGGCTGAATGGCTAGAAGTTATATTTTTAAAAAGAATTGAACAGCCTTA